CGTCTCGAAATCTTAACAAATATTTTGCTATTGAACGAATGTAATTATGGAGTATCTGTTTACATGACGTTTATGGTTTATTTAACAGTGGAAATCAATACATTTTACAGTAATAAAATATTTAAATGTCATTACAGTTCCTTAGTTCGAGACATTGGGTACTTTTATTTTGGTTTATTTTAAAAGAATTTTTCCCTTGCAAAAATAATTTTTGGAAATATTTGTTAGTGAGAGATTTGAAACAAGGAGATTATTGTCTTCTGAACCGCGTAGTATGGGTTTATTTAACAGTGGAAATCAATACATTTTACAGTAATAAAATATTTAAATGTCATTACAGTTCCTTAGTTCGAGACATTGGGTACTTTTATTTTGGTTTATTTTAAAAGAATTTTTCCCTTGCAAAAATAATTTTTGGAAATATTTGTTAGTGAGAGATTTGAAACAAGGAGATTATTGTCTTCTGAAGCGTTGAACCGCGTAGTATGACATAAAATGACTGACGTTTCATAGGAACCGTCTGTCTCTATTTTCAAGGTACGAAGTTTCTCTGAAACGTCGGTATCCATCAGGCTACACGGCTGTATCTCAGAAGAAAGTCATTTTCATTCTCGTCGCCGTGAGAACCTCAAGTCTTACCACGTGTTATGAACTTTTTAGCAATAATTTGTACGTGTGATAAATTGTCAGTAATGAAAGTGAAATATTCGAAATCAAGACCCGCGTCTGAGCTCGCTTATTCTATCAGGTTGCTTGATTGGTAGTTTCGGTTCAATATGCTTAGCACCCGCATCAAAAGCCCACAGACTTTCACAGCGGACCAACTTCTGGTTTCTTGCATCTCTGTCCCCCAACAGCCTTCTAGACCAGTGTCACTGGCACGCCAGGCGGAATAATCCAACGAGTACACGGGTTTGTTATAAAGCTGTTAGAGTCGTAATCTTCTCCCTCGTTTGCTCAAGCAAACCGAATGCGAATATTAGCAAGCTGATTTTTAAATGGGAGGAAAGCTTCCGACAAACCAACATAGATGGCGCCAGTAGGTGAAAGTAACTGCCGGCAACATTGACACATGTCACATTCTGTTCTCTCTGTTTCTCCTTCCATTTATCCAATTTTTATTTCCTCTCTTTCTTTCTTTCTTTCTTTCTTTCTTTCTTCTTCAATTTCCATACCTTTTCCTTTGCTTTATTCTCTCTTGTATCTTTCTTTTCTTTACATTTTGTATCTTGTTCTTCCGTTCATTATCTCTCTCTTATCTTCATTATTCCTTTATTTAATCTAAGCAGTAAGTTTTTCCGTAGTCACCTTTAATCACTGAATTTCAGGTCAATGTAACATGGCATTCAGTATAAGGTCAACGATATTAGAACAATTTTAATCAGTTTCTTTTTTTGTTTTTATAGATTGGCTGTTTAGTTAGCTCTATGAAGAAATAGCATTATTTTCCTCCGTAAAACACATCGGTACCATTTTATCAGATTTCAGTTGTTCGTGTCTCAGTCTACGAGTAGAATCACATTTCAATTATCCTGTAACAGACAATATTTTAGTTCAATTCTTAATAACGTTCACTAATGAAGTTCAATGCAACTGTCACATCCCAGCTGAAACTGCATGACTCACCGCCAAGCGCTACAGGTTTTTCCCGACATGAGTTAAGTATCGGTCTATAATATTAAAATGTATCTTAAGGACTTAGAGTTTGAATCAGTGCGATTAATTCATAGTGTTGAGTGGTGTGCTGTTTTATACGTGGTAATGAATCTTTTGCTTCTATAAAAGACGATGTTTCTTGACAAGTTGAGCTATTATCAGCTTCTGAAGGAAGACTTTGCTCTTCGGACTTAGTCAAAGAGTGTTGTTCGTTTGTTTCTTACTCAAAATACTGAAACAACGGAAAAAATTAAATATTTTTCCTGGTTCAGCCAATAGGAGAAAGGTATTTGACGTGAAATACCTACTCGTTCCATTGAAATTCCACCATGTACAAATATGAGTTTACTCTTGACTCTACCCATTATCCTTCCATCCTTTACGTGACAACTGTTCTTGAAGAAGGCGGAGCCTCAACGGATCTGTATAAACAGCATGTACACTTGATATCATGCTTTGGCGACGAAGACAGTCTCCAAAATACTGGACTTCTACTCAGAACTAAAGCACGTGATCACAAAAGATTTTATTACGAGGCGCGTCCTCAAAGTAAGTTTTCCTGGTTCCGTTTACAGAAACAAAACACAATTTCATGGGAATATTTATTGCAACAGATACAGCAAGTGTCCAGCTATTTTTCAACATATTCGCCACCGGAATTGAGACATTTGTCATACCGTGGGACCAACTTTTGAATACCTGTGTCGTAGAAGTCTGCCGCCTGGGATTGGAACCACTGTGTGACAGCCATCTCCGCCTCTCTGTCATTCTCAAAACGCTGACGCTGACGCTGACCGGACAGGAATTTCTTGAGGTGTAGGAAAAGATGGAAATCACTGGGAGCGAGGTCCGGGCTGTAGGGTGAATGATTAAACACCTCCCAGCTGAACTCCTGCAGGAGACTTGCTGTCCGTCGAGCCGTGTGCGGCTTAGCGTTATCACTGACCGCACTTCACAGTCGGCGGGAGCTGGAATAAGAACCTCCATCTTCAACAGCTGCAACGATGCTACTGTGAGAACGCGGGAGGTGCCGTTAGTGCATGCGCCATGCTACGTCATTGCTCTATCACGTACGCACAGTCGCTTCGCGCAATATAAGGTTTGCTAGCTGTGGGACGAGTGGGAAACTTACTTTGAGGACGCGTCTCGTATATTTGATTTATATTAATGTGTTATGCTACATATTACTGCTACGAATTTTATATTAGCAAGGCAATGACTTAGTACTGTTAATATTTATTGAAACTAGACAACATATGGTCCGTAATATTTAACGGGTGTCAAACTTTTATATGTTGTACCGTTTTAAACTTATTACAGCATTGTCTTTGCAGAAGTTAAATCTAACTCCGTTTCGCGGGCTCTAGCAGAATCCACCACACCCCTCTACACCCTCGTTTTCATTTCTTGCTACCAGAGACGTCACAGACATTGGCTATTATATTAATAGTAGATAGAGAAGCTATTTAAATAAACTACTACGTCAGCCAAGTTGAGATTTTCAAGAGAAACTAACAGTTGTTTTGATAGTCAAGAAACTCTACGTCTCTTATGGAAATGTAAAAATCATTAACATAAGTCCTTGTCCTTAGTCAGAAGAATCTCATCTTCTAATTTAATTCGGCCTCTAAACACTGTCTCCGATATATATTTATATATGATAGTTTCTTATCATTAGGGGAAAATGAATTATTAACATAATATAAGTTTGTTACCATGAGAAGTAACGTGGTTTACGATGAGGAAATTGTCAAAAGAACTTGTAAGTTGCTTTACTGTAAATATGCTTACAATAAGAGTATGAGGAATGTCAGTACAGCTTACAGTAACAAGACGCCACGACTATAAGCAGATATATTTTTTTTTATTTTAATAATGACAAAGCACATGCAAATGATCAATCAAAAGGCTAAACATTAGACCTGAGTGTCCTGTGAACTATACAATTACCTCTCGCATTGAGTTGCTAAACACAATGTCCTTCTTGAACATTATGTAACTCGTGTTTTGATAAATCAACTTGTGATTTTAAAAAAAAAAACAGCTAGGAAATATACAAGTAACAATAATTCTAGTACTTTGGCAAGAATTTGACATTTGGCGTTTAACCAAGGTAACCATGGTAACAAAGGTGACTTGAAGATTCAACTTCGAGTCGCTTCATTGCAGCGCACACGTCTTCAAGGAAGTGTCAAATTTGTTGTCAAGTTTTAACCAAAAGTTGAACGTGCCAAAGCGTCTGTAAAACTCTACAGTATTAAATTTCATGAAAATCTGTTTGGCCGCTTTGAGAGTTATTTTATGCGTACGGACAGGCAAACGAAGCGATTTTAGAGATGCTAATGCCCCAGAGAACACTTATAAATCTGTCTCCATTTACCCTCCGGATGAATTAACATTAAGGAGCTGTATGGATAATGCCATATGTACGTACGTGCTTCTTTGATACACTAAGTTTCGGATAAGATAAACCATAAATATGAGACGAGGTCATATTTTTTGCAAGACTTAGACAAAACTTGATTACTGCTAAAGAATATGTTGTCTTACGAAATAAACAAACATAATATGGGGCATACATTTAGAATACCTCGAAGTTTCTCTGCTGTTTGGTACACATTTCACGTTCTTGTCTTCGATAATACCAGAGTTGTAAATATTTTAAGTTATTTAGTAAGTTTATAATTACGCACTATATTATTCTTTACGTTTACTGAAATGTAGACATATTTTCAAAAGTTGTGTTGAAAATTTCATGTACAATTTACATCGTCACATATATGTCTCTTTGTTTCTGGAACACAACGTTTATGTATGACAGGTGTAAAGGCCTTGAACATTACGAGAGTAATATATGACCCTGAATTTATTACAAGAAATAAAATTATTTGTACGCTGCAAAGTAAATAAGAATGGAAGGTAATATAATATTAATTAATTATCCAGTAGGCCAGGAATGTGAATGTAATTATGAAGGAAAAAACTTGTGTTGAGAAGGCAGTTTGTCCATCCTTACAGCCTACACTCAGAAAAATTCATGAAAAGTAATTGAAAGTGTGTGATGTGAAAAATATTGCCAGCATTGCATAGTTATTTCTAAAGGGGGGGGGGGGGTTATTTTGTACTGACAAATGCCTGAGGGTGGTTTTCCGAGACAACGTACTGAGATAAGAAAGAAGACTATCACAGAATAGAGAATCATTACGAAGCAAAGATTAAAAATCAGGTCAATTTGTGATCCAGATCTTCCACTGAACAGTCGATCAGTTATAACATTCGACATTTTATCCATTTAAAAATATCGACGTATCACAGAATGAATATATTTTTGTTATTGTTACCAGATATACCCGGTCAGTGAAGTTGCTGTCTGTGGACTGGATACCCGAGGTTCGATTCTTTTTTCACCGCCAGTCCGGTCCAGCCCTGTGACCCATCCAGCCTCCAATACAATTGGTAAGTTTACCATCTCTTAAATGTTTATTTGCTCCTACATAGGCCGTGACTCACGTTTTCTTGAAATGCGTTGCTCTAGACTTAAGAATTTTCATGTTGTTATCATTCTCAGTTGTCAGCTTCCCTGTCCGTTTCTCTGTTTGTTAGTATACTGCAAATACGAAAGAAGCCAGTGGATGTTTTGTTGCGTGGAAACCGTTTAATTCATAAAGTGAACAATGTTTGGCACTGCTGCTTTACACAGAAGAATATTTGTCTGTCGTGATCTTACGGGTGGTGACGCCATGAGAATCTGAAATCTCAACAAGTAATTTAATCTTTTATATATATATAGCTTCTTTTAAAAATAATCTGGGTCAATAACGTGCGATATCGGTAGAAATTCAAAACCTGTTGACGTCTAGTATTCGTTACATGTTGAAAAAGCTTTCACGTAAATCTGATACATTCTTCATTATGGATTTCAGCAGTGTATAATTGCCAGGCCAAACAGATGAACTGACAAACGTTGATCCCCAGCGACAGACGCCTCTCTGAATGAAAACCAAGTGTTGAAAATTTCTGCCAGCTCTTGAAGAGAAGTTTGCGTTAAGCAATTTAAAATTAGCACAAGTGAACGCGAGACAAAGAGAGGATGAAGGAGACAGAAGGGGAATGTGGAATGAGTCCAGTGGACGGATACAAACTAAAGAACATTGCCTTGAATTTAGTACGCGAAAATAAACAATAGTGCGGGGGAATGAGACGGACAGACCGGAGCAAAACAAACAAACCCATTTCTTTATCTTATGTACAAGGTAGCAGTAGTTAGGCGTTTTAGGATCGTGGACAGAGGAAGTGTGTATATTCGTGCTATGTAAAGAAAATATATTATTTTTGCCTGAGAAGAAGAGAGCTCAGCCCTGATGAAGTACCCCGTATTTGACTCGAAAGCCGTGTATTCTGAATGGCGGAAGTCATGATTGGTTATAAGCGGAATGTCACAGTCGGTAAATTTTTTTTGTAATCTAGTGACTTATACTAAGCAAACATTACTTAAAATTTCTGTAGACTGAAATTTTCTGTCCACAAAACTTTGAGTCACATGGCATATCGATATACTTCCCATATCGTCTTTGTTATCGAAAATCATCTTGTATCGATATTTTGCTGAATTTTCCCTTGGGCCTATATATTGCAGTACTCCATAGAGAGTACCGTTCTTTACTGAGAAATATCGATAGAATATTTCACCGTAAGCGAATATGATGTAGCAGTACCTTCGAGCAGGCTTGATGTCTACCAAGCCAGTCATAAATTTTCCCTTGTATTCGTATGTCCATTCTTTGTGCGAATTTGTGAGATGCTTCTTCAAGTCTTGCAGATTTCCACCCCAAGAACAGTTGACTGCAGGCACCTTGAAAATGTCAAAATAATAAGAGCACCTCAGTTGTAGAAAAACATGAGTGTGTGAACTGAAATATCCTCTTGATTGCCCTCACCCCAAAAAAGTTTGTGTCCATTACATAAAAGGGCGGATTTATAACTTGTGTTGGGCAAGGCCTTGGTCTAGGCAACACGGAGTTTTCCTCCGTGGCCTCCCAACAATTACTCCATTCACACACAGAAGAAGGCAATGGCAAACCACTTCTGGATCATCTGCCAAGAACGTATATGAACAGGTCCCAGTCCGAGAAAAGGATGGAAGGATCCTGTTTATATGGACCTGTCGTCAGACAGAACACTAAATAAATATATAAATAAAACTCCAGTAATACCAAGCGAACTATAGAAAACATAAATTGCTCGCTATTTTCACAGCTTGTAGGTTGTGGTAATTTATATTTTTCTCTTAGAGCAAGATATCACATTTACGTATTTTCACAGGAGTATAAAATAACTACCAATCTCACTGTTTTATGGGCCAACTAGTATATTTGTTATTTAGTGTTTTGAAAAGTAGACATGTTGAAATGAGTTGAATTTTTATGGAAACATAACACAAATAGATTTTTAATATTATAATTACGTTCTCAACTTTTAATTATTACTATTTTCTGAAAGATGGCATTGAAAGGACGTTGAAAAAATGGAGTGTCGATACAGATCGTTTAATTTGTTTTCTAGCGCGATGCATGATGGGACTGGAACATTTAACCCAACCTACTTAGAGGTCAACAAGTAGATGTAGGTCGTGAAATTCAATTCAATTCAATTATTCAATCAGTAACGTGCACTTTCCAGTTGAATCTAACACTTATAGCTGTTAAATCTTGACCGAACAAGCAACCTTCAGCGTCATTCCTCGGGCAATTACGCCGTTGAACAAAGAGAGACCATTGTTCGAATTTTCTACTTCAATAACTGTTTGTGTGTTAATAGTTCAAAGGTTATAAACCTTGCAACGTTTTACTATTACTACTAGCAGTACGTATGTATGCTGGTTCATTATCGGAGTAACACTGACCTCGTAATAGACTTACAGAATAACAACAAGTTACAGCGTCTCACCTCGTATTGATAACTATTGAAATCTGTGTCTCCCTTTAAATGGTGAAGTTCGTCTAAATAACATTTAAGATTTCAGTCCGTACCGCGAAGAAAACACAACACTTCACCATTACAAAGATCAGCTGGTTAACCCTTTCAAGCCGAAGCTCGTATAAATATTACGTAAGAATTCAGTCCGTACCGCGAAGAAAACACAACACTTCACCATTACAAAGATCAACTTGTTAACGCTGTTTAAGGAAATAATCGCTGTTTAAATTAAGAATCATACGAAATACGTCAATACAAAATGCAGAGTTGTTGATTATTAAAACAGGTGGTATATATAGTTACCAAAAGACCTTAAAGGGCACACAGAAGTCGAAGGCCAGTTTCCAATGATTTTCGCGTAACGAACAGTTGTAGTAACAAAGAAAAGTGGACGGGGCAGCTAGAAGGGTCACTTATGTAGTTGACAGATTCATCTTCACAAGTAGTTTAAATGAATCTGCGAGCATATCACGCGCTGATCCAGTTGTCGCCAATTGTACATTAGAAACAGAGAAAGAGCTCTGTAATGGAGTTGGTGTCGTCTCTTAAGAGCCATGCGCTTATTACAGTGAATAATTTTGCTCAAAATTAATTGACAACTTCGTGAAAAGGAAAAAATATATAATTTCGACATCTAACAATAAATATTGTGAACGTTCACACGAGTAAATTTTAAGATAAAGAAAAAAAAATTAAAATAAAATTCCTTTGCAGGAAATAACATGTAATTTTCAGTATTGTAAGTGTTACAACCGCAGACTTCGATTCCGATTTGCGGACCTATAATTGAATTTACTCGCTTAATCACCTACTATAATAACAATTATTTATTTTAATCCGTCTTATCACAATATAATTTATTTAAAATTTCTTATAATTATCATTCATGTTCCATATCGATTGATCGATTTACATTTCGGAATGATATTTTATTATCTTAATTATAAGAAATTTTAAATAAATTATATTGTGATCAGACGGATTAAAATAAATAATTGTTATGATATTCACAATATGACGCAATTACACCATCACCTACTTTAAGTTCCAAAACGGAGTAAATTATTTTACCAATATGGCCGTCTTCTGGGTTGTATTACCATCCAGTCTTGTAGAAGTTTATCGACGTTTCAGAGTCCCTTGCTGCTTCCATCATCAGGGCGACAGTACCTTGTAATAAGCCACAAGACATTCTTATGTTTAATTTTTTTTTATTCATAACTAATAAAAGTCTTACCATTTTATTGGGGGTTCTAAAATATACAGCTGAAACCGTGTCATTAAACAATCTAAGAACCAACTAAAGATAACTCTCGTTATATGCGATTTCGCTGTCCGATTTGTTACATATCCACTGTTTTATTTCAGTGTTATGGTGAGGATCAGTATCCTATCCGCGGCCCGATTTTAAAGCCTGTTACATGCGTCGGAAGTTCTGCTGGGTTATCAGGGAAATTAATTCAGGCATCAGAGATTTTAGGAGTCATTTTAATATCAAAATGACAGTCGTTATACGTTCCCAGGTTTGCGCGTTGTTTTATAAGCGTTGGTTCGCATGAACGCAACCCCCATGTATATCACAGGTCCCTGTGTCAAGTAGAATGATTCTGGAGGATGTTGGTCTGGGAGGTTGTGCCCTTCTTATATCTGAGCACGGTGGCTGCATGTTGCTAGGGTGTGAATGCGTGTCTACGTAATTCAATCAGCACTTTGGCTTCCTTTCTAACTGACAAGAACAGCTTCTGGGTGGCAAATTGTTCTGTTTCGTTCTTTTGACCCAGCCAGAAAACTTCTTGTGTTTTGGTAAAATGTCTCCTGTAGAGTGTGCGTGGTGGGAATCTTAGTACGCCACCGAGACGTGTTTTGTTTACTTGTCTTCGTAGAATTTAAACACTGAGACCCTTCATTCCAAACAACTGCTAACAATCTTACATCCCATGAATAACTATACATCGTCACTTAATTCGTGTGTTACTACTATTACTGCCATTAATTCAATATCACGATCAAATTTTTCGATACGTGTTCTCGATCGGAAGGTCCTGGGAGGCAGTCATCGCATGGGGGATTTTCTCTGTTATATCTCTTCGAATTTCCGAACAACAGAACTTCTGACTCGACTTACCTTCCACTAAGACTGCATTACTCTCACCTGCCTTTCTTATGACACGACATTTGCACACTTTATCATTCACATTTTATTTCTGTAAAAGGACCAGAGAGAGGGACAATTTAATATTTAATTTTCTCAGCAGAAGTCTCATTAAGACGATGGAGTATCTCAGGAACTTGAAAACTGTGTGGTTTGTTTCTCTTTGTCTGAGTTACACACCAGAGGGCTACAGATAGCAAACATCTGTTGGAACGGATGGACGGACGGACAGGACAAGCGACGCCAGCGCCCATTCTCCCTTTCATCTCATACTTGCACATGTGTTTCAACTCTTTTTTATTCGTCTTCATCTCATTCTTTCTTATACTAACTTCCATCGTGTTCCAGAGCCCCCCCCCCTCCTCCTCCTCCCTACACACGCAAGTATTGGCGGCTTTAACCGCCATCCGGCTTCTGAATGTTGTAAACTGTCACCACATGTGTTACTGGATGCAAAACAGAATTAAATGGATAACATACTCCACGGACCGGAGTCGTACTTGAGAAGCCTACAGTACGCCACGCTAGTTAAGAAATTACCCGCGTGTTATGGTCGTCTAGGACCAATTATCGTGTTCAAAAAGATCAGTCACTGACTCTGATCAATGTAAATCCAGTCCACGCCCCTAAACCTTATTTCCGTAAGGTCTATTTTAATATTATCCTCCAATCTATGCCCTAATTTATTATCTCCGCCTCAGATGTCAGAATTCTCTCAAAAATCTCCTAAAAGGACATGATCTATAAGTATGCCTACATCTGATATTCCAAGTTCAAAAATTTATAGCCATTATCAGTTTCGTATGTCCTTCTAAAAATCCATGTGAAATGTTTTGTAACATTTTGGTTTCGTAGGTAGAATGTGAGAAGTGCAAAAATGACTGTGCAGGCGTCAGTGAGTCAAAAAGCAATGGAGTTGGTCCCTTGTTGCTGTGATAATTCGTGTCCTATGGAAAGGCGTCTCAGTGCACTTGACCTGTTTTTCGCTCCAGAAGACAAGACATGACCCAATAGGCCAGATGAGTCGACTCCAGCGTC